CACGTAATGTTATAAACAATTCATAACTATACACAGCAGGTCTTCTTTCCCAATTCTGAATGTGAACCACTCTGAATGACTGGACCAGGCGCTGCTTATCCAAGTAGCAACCCTAACGTTGCAAGTCTTCTTGATCTTGATCAGACCTGATCAGTCGGTAGACCGTAGGACTCACAACCGAGAGGTTCAGGGTTCGAGCCCCTGTCGATTATTCGCCCTCCTTCCTTCCGATGGTAATAAACGAGTACCACTATGTGGGAAGGAAACAGAGGACGACAGACACCGCCTGCCACACAGCTGCTATCGACCCTGCCTTAAAAAATTAGTGCCGCTCGGGGCTGATGGCATGGAAATAGAGATCAGTACCACATCATTAGCTTCATGAAAAGAAGGGCGTGAGAAATCACTCTATCATGAAAGTATAAGGTTACAAACTTACCCATTTTCCATCTTAATCTAAGGCTTGTCAAGGCGACTGAATGCGAAGTTGCCAATCTGCACAATATTTTCATCCACTGCGGGGATCAGCCAAGATTGCTGGATCAGAACAGCAGATGTATTTCGAAAGACTCGCATTTCTACTAACGCAACTAGTTCGTCAAAATGAGGTAAACTGGAAGTGTAATTACGGTAGGTGCCTTCATTGTCCTTTGCGTACTTTTGCAGCTGACTGCCATCCACCTCAACCACAAAGTTTTGTTTCATGGACAGATGAGATTCTTCCCAAACACTTTCTTCCGGTATCATCATCAACTCTTTTCGATCCACTGTTGGATGAACGTCTTGACTTTGCAACAACAACCTTCTGTTTTTGTATTCAGCGCATTTCATTCAGTGAACCTTCCTCGTTTTGTATTCAGCGAACCTCTCTATATCATCTTGCCATCGATGTGGATGTCTTCCTCCTGGCCGCTTACTTTCTCCTGTAATCCAGTCTAATGTCTCTCTGGTTCAGCGATGACAGGTTCAGGCACCGTGTCCTGTCCACTGGAGGTCTCTGTTCATTCGAGGAGTAACATCGCAGAAGACTTTTGTTCGTGTCCTTACCCACTCATTCGTAATTTCATCTTTTTTGTTATTCCCAACATACGTCTTTCTATGCTGCGTTGCGTAGTCTGCAGTTTATGAATAGTTTTTAGGATTAGGATCCATGCTCCGCACCTACAGATTAATACTCAAAGCACACATTAATCGAATACTTTCCGTTTCAAGCACAAGGGGAGTTTCCCAGATAGAAATATTTTCAGTCTTCCAAAAGTGCTCCATTCCATTTCTATACCTATGTCAATTTCACAAAGCCGGTTTTCCGTTGCAGAGAGGAGCTGTTCCAGATAGACGTATCCTTTGTCACATGGTTGCCTCATTGTAACAAACGTCTGTGGTGGACAAATGCAGCAAATATGCGCCAGGCAGAAGAAACGCAACAATCGACCGTTCAGCCACAATTATAGGGTAACAACCGACAGAAAATAAATTTTTAAAAGAAAACACATTTTAACGAATTCTCAGAAAATTTTTCTCAAGGAGACTGAAAAGTTGACAGGTATGACAAGTACCGAACATGATATATCCTACTATGGCGGCTGAACAATATAAAGCATATGTCGGGTACGCATAAAAAGCTAACAGACTTTATTACAGACGACGTAGAAAAGCTAAGCATAAACAACCAACCTCACAACCAGCCTACTCATATGGCGACATAATGAAAGAATTCACCTGGATGATTCACAAACGTTTGACGGAAAAAACGACATGCTTGCTGATCACCAAGATTATCGATTCTTGAAGTGAGGACCCACGAGGTTGTTTAAAGTCATTAGGCGATTAAAAATTCGTACTAACAATGACACTTATAAAAAGTTCACACGATTTTCAAACACGGATCTTTGCTCGTCATCGCCAGGTAAACCTTTCTGGAAAAAACATCTCCGAGTCTTCGACTGAAATTGTTCTTAGTTCGAATCTTGATATTGGCCAAAAGCAACTGCTTCTCGAGCTCGTTGTGGCATGCTCTGTATGCCTGCAAAAGTCGATCTGGGCATCCA